ACAGTAATCATAAATTGGGAGTTCATCACCTAATGGACATAAAGGCCATTGTCCAGATAAAAATGTATAGAGCCTGCATTCAGATTTAAGAGAAAAGGGAGCCTATTATCAAGACCAGAAGGAACTTCCATGGTAAGAACACCAGAAGAAAGAAGCTGGAGTTATAAAAGGAAAGTCTGAAAGAGTTTGAACAGGTAGGATGCAAGTAGTGAGGGTAATTATGTGTAACAGAATGAAGGGCCTAGAAGGTATGAAGAGAAGCTCATTGCTGGTTGTAATAGGAGCATTTTGGTATGGGAGGTAGGGAAAAAGAGGAGGCTGGTTTGGGGGTTTTGTTTTTGTTTTTGTTTTTGTTTTTGATTTTTTTTGAAATGGAGTCTCTCTCTGTCGTCCAGCCTGGAGTGCAGTGGTGCTATCCCTGCTCACTGCAACCTCTGCCTCCTGGATTCAAGGGATTCTCCTGCCTCAGCATCCCAAGAAACTGGGATTACTGGCACCCATCACCGTGCCCAGCTGATTTTTGTATTTTTAGTAGAGATGGGATTTCGCCATGTTGGCAGGCTGGTCTCAGACTCCTGACCTCAGGTGATCTGCCTGCCTCAGCCTCCCAAAGTGCTGGGATTATAGGTGTGAGCCACCATGCCAGGCCAAGGCTATTGTTTTAAGAAATTTTGCTGATAGCAGGAAGAAGAGAAATTGGGCAGATATCACATAAAGACCTACTTTCTTGATGGCATATCTGTACAACAATGAAAGAAAGAAGCCAGTGGTGTAATTGCCCAGTAGGTTCTTCCTGCCAGCTGCACAGACAAAACCAGTTCCCTGAGACTGTGCTGTTGGAGTACACAAAGTTTTATTAATGTGATGCTGCCCACTCAGGAGACAGTTACTTCATTACTCAAATCAGTCTCCCTGAAGGCTCAGAGGTTAGTGTTTTTCAAAGATAGCTTGGTGAGCAGAGAACTAGGGGATGAGTGCTGCTGACTGCTTTGAGGATCAAATCATAGGGGTGTGGAAAATGGTGTGTGTGTGCCCAGCCTGTCTCTGGATGGGGGCAGTAGGACTGGCTGAGTCATGGGTCACAAGTCCAGGTGGGGTCAGTATAAAAAATATTTCAGGCCAGGCGCAGTGGCTCATGCCTGTAATCCCAACACTTTGGGAGGCTGAGGTGGGTGGATCACGAGGTCAGGAGTTCGAGACCAGCCTGGCCAAGATGGTGAAACCCTGTCTCTACTAAAAATACAAAAATTAATCAGACACAATGGTAGGCACCTGTAATCTCAGCTACTTGGGAAGCCAAGGCAGGAGAATCGCTTGAACCTGGGAGGTGGAGGTTGCAGTGAACTAAGATCGCACCACTGCACTTTAGCCTGGGCGACAGAACAAGACTCCATTCCCTCCCCCGCCCCCCATGCACACACAAAAAAAATTCAGAAGACCAATCTTAGGTTTTACAATAATGATGTTATCTATAGGAGCCATCAGGGAAGTTACAAATCTTGTGACCTCTGGCCCCATGACTCCTGAACAGTAAGGGATTACAGAAACTATGCCTACATATATAGGCCAGGTGCAGTGGCTCACATCTGTAATCGCAGCCCTCTGGGAGGCCAAGGTGAGCAGATCACCTGAGCTCAGGAGTTCAAGACCAGCCTGGGCAACATGGTGAAACCTTGTCTCTACAAAAAAAATACAAAAATTAGCTGGGCACAGTGGTGCACACCTCCCAGCTACTCAGGAGGCTGAGGCAGTAGAGTTGCTTGAGCCTGGGAGGTGGAAGTTGCAGTGAGCTGAGATTGCACCATTGTACTGCAGTCTGGGCAACAGAATGAGACCTTTTCTCAAAAAGAAAAGAAAGAAGAAACTATACATACATTTAATCAGAATTTAGGCCCTTCCCATAATCCTAATCTTGTGGCCTTTCATTAGTTTTACAAAGGTAATTTCAGTCCCCAAACAAGGAGAGCATCAGTTTTAGGGAGGGACTGTTATCTTGGTGTCAAAATTAAACTATAAATTCCTCCCATGGTTAACTTACTCTATACCCAGGAACAAGCGAAGACAGCCAGCCAGTGAGGCTAACAGGAAGATGGAATCAGCCATGCTAGATTTCTCTCACTGTCATAATCTTTGCAAAGGTACTTTTGATGGAGTGAGCAGTTGAGGGTACAGGAAAGAGAATGGCAGTAGAATAATACAAGGAAAATGGGGTCAATGACTCAAAGGAAGGAGGGAATAGTTTCATCTAATTATTCCCTCAAGAAACATTTATTGAGCCCCTTCTATGTGCCAATAAGCCCTAGTTTTAGGCACCTGGGATACGGTGAAGAAAAAAAAACAGTGAAAAAAACTCTACTCTTGGGGGACCGTAAGTAGTAAACATAGTAAATTATATAAGAGATTAGAAGATAAGTGGTGTGGGAAAAATGAGACTAATCGAGCAAGGTAAGGAAGATTGGGATATTGAGGCCAGAAAGGAGTGGTGCTGTAGTTTTAAATAGAATGATCCAGGTAGGCTTTACAGAGCATGTGGCATTTGAAAAAAAAAAAAAAAAAAAACTTACAGGAGGCAAAGGAGTTGGCCATGTTGCTATCTGGAGAATGCCTTGTTCAAGGAGAGGGAAGAGCTGGTGCAAAAAGTCTTAAAACAGACACCTTTGAGCCTGTGGGCAGAGCTGCAAGCCCAGTGTGGCTGGAGCAGAGGCAGCAGGATCACAGAGATGCCATTGTTGTCAGGGGTTTCTGGAGAGGTATAGAGGTTAAGTAGGACCTGGTCTGACAGTTTAAGGACTTTGGCTCTTACTCCACGAAAAATGGGAAAGTTTTAAAAAGAGGAGAGTCATGATCTGACTTAGATTCCATATATATGGTCAGCTTACATATGAGGCTTGAAGAGATTCAGAAAGGTATGGAATAGTCTCGGAGAGGAATCTGATTAGAAATTGTCATGGACTGTCGAGCACACAGCTTGTCTGAGATATGATGTACTATCAGTATATGCTGGCATTATTTTACTCAGTTGTGTTGTTTTTGTTAGCAGCACTTAGTTATTGAGATATGTTTGTGGACAAAACAGATAACAGGACTGGCTAAATGTTGTATTTTGCTGAAGAGGAAAGTAGTAATTCAAGTAATGTGCTATAGAATTTAGGCTGGTTTAAAGACTTCAGTGTGAAAGTTAGATTTGAACTAGGAAAAGGATAGGACAGGGTGGAGCAAGACACTAGAACTAGGCTGTAGAGAAAAGAAGACAGTGGAGGCTAGAAGCTGAGAATGAGACAGCGTAGTTTTCAGAATTTCAGTTATGGAGCAGTATCAGATTATTTCAAGGTCAAGGGCTTGACCAGTGAATTGAATTGGTGAAGAAACTAGGTATAGTATAATGTGAAATATATTTGGTCTTTTGTCTTTTTCCCCCATACTTGTCTTGGAGCTCTTAAAAACCTTGGGAATTTCCTGAGTGAAAGGAGTACCTTCTATTAATAATGAGTCCCTTAACATGTTAGGTTATGCTAATGAGCTAACAGGGTAGGGCCTCTGTAGCTTCAGGATGGGGCTGCTCACTAGAAATACAGACAGGATTAGAGTGCTAGAACTTTGAGACCCATCCTCCAGTAAAGGTTGGGACTGGCGATTAATCTCTACAAAAACTCTTGAACAACAGACTGGATGAGCTTCTGTGTTGCTAAGCACATGGAGGTACTGAAAGGGTGGCACACCCAGAAAGGGTGGCACACCCAGAAAGGGCATGGAAGCTCCAGACACCCACCCACTACCTTATCCTCTGCATCTCTTCCATCTGACTGTTCATCTGTGTCCTCTACAGTATTTTTTTTATAATCAGTAAACACAAGTGTTTCCCTGAGTTCTGTGAGCCGCCTTAGCAAATTAATCAGACCCAGTGTTACAGGACCACCAGGTGCAACAACCAATATGCAGACACAATGGGAATTGCAGCAGAGAAAGACTTCAGTAATTGTAGGGCAGCCCAATGAGAAAATGAAACCTTGTTAAAAACTTCAGCTGAATTAAATTTAAAGGAGTTTAATGATCAGTGAACCATTTGCAAATTGGGCAGCCCTCAGAATCACAGCAGATTCAGAGAGACTCCTGGGCAGCCATGTGGTGGAGGAAGATTTATAGACCAAAAAAAAAAAAAAAGGAATTGACGTACAGAAGTCGGAAGTGAGGTGTAGAAACAGCTGGATTGGTTACAGATTGGCGTTTGCCTTATTTGAACACAATTTGAGCACTTAGCAGTCTGTGAGTGGTTGAAGTATGTGTGGCCACTGGGATTGGCCAAGACTTAGCTGTTGTTACAGGCACATACTCCTCAATTAGGTTTTCAGTGTGGTCTGCCTATTAAACCAGGTTATAGTTCATCCACAACAACTCAAATATAGAAATACAGAGTCTGTCTCAGGCCGTGTTTAGTTTGCTTTAACAGTTCCCTACTTTTGGTCATTTTTTTTAATTTTCAGAGATTGACCAAAACTTTAGTCTTTGATGTCACTATTACCATCAGAAATATACTTATTTGGTTTTGAAAGCCACTGGAAAACAGTAGGACAGTGAGTTTTGCAAAGGCAGGAACAAGGACTGAGTAAAGGGTACCTCCTTATGCTGGAGTGTCCTGTTCATAGGAGAAAAACAAAACCTGGTCTGTTCTGGTCTAGGATCTATGTGTTTTCTTAAAATCTTAGTTTGATTATTTTACGTTTAACATGAGCTACGCATGTTTGATTATTTTACGTTTAACATGAGCTACATTTTTGTTTGGTCCATTGGGGCCTAGTGCCTGAGGTCAGTCCAAAACAATGGCCTCTCATAATTTAAAAAATTCACCCTTCTGTTCTGGTTCTCACTTAGGTGAGAGTGTGACCAAAACTTAGGGGCTTAGTGCCACTCTGTTATTATTTTGGGTTTCCAGTTTCAGCACATCATATATAGGTTATGGTATACTCATGGCTGCACATTCCTTTCCGCTCTTGTCATTCCAGTTGAAGAGAGACCGTTTGACGTTTTAGTAATGGCTGAATGCAAACATTTAAAACCTTTAAGAGAATACAGCAGCATACCAGGGAGACTGTAACCATGATTATCAGGAGGATAAATACCAAGAGTTTGGAGTAAGCTTCTTACCCAGGTTCCCAGTGAAACAAACCACCTAAAATTAAATAGATCAGAGAATGAGCTAAATGAAGAGTCTATTCACTTAACTAAGTGGTTTTTTTTCACTAATCCCCTACAACTGAATTTTTATAATCTACATTACAGTAGAAACTGCCATAAAGAATATCATGAGGGATACATTTTTGTTTGTTTTAATTTTTTTTTTGAGGGATACATTTTTAATCATTGCCGTTTTTATTCCAAACCATGGAAAAAAGGAGCTAACAAATGATGTCCTTCTAGAAGAGTGAAGACTTCCTGACAATGTTCTCTTTAACCCATGATATGGTTAGGAAGAGTGAATCAGTGTGCTGTTTCTGACTGATTATGAGGCAATGCATGTACCATTAAAGTTTCTTACCTACATTGGGCCTTCATGTTTTATATGTGAAGGCATAGGTTATCTGTGTATAAGGCTGACTGCAAAATACAAATAAAAGTATACCCCATAAGTGCACACAACAGACCTCCCCCCTTTTCTTTTCTGTTCATAGAGGCATAAACAAGGGGAAAGTATTTAAAAATAACAGTCTCATGATAGTAGAACTCTTGATCTGTGATCTTGGGAAAAACTGTTCATATCAAGGATGCCATTTTTTGTGGGGGAGAAATTTTCCTGGTTAGCCTTTACCTTGAGGATTCCAGTGGGTATACAGTTCCAAGATTGTGGAGGGAGATTACGAAGCCAAAGTAATCTCTGTTGTGAGATTACAAAGCCAAAGTACAAGGTCCCAAAGTTTTGTTGCAGTATGGATGAGAAGGACAATCTTTCTCTGATATTCTCAGAAAATCCAGTCTTCAGGTTCTAGATTGTGAAAGGGTTGATTTTTCTCAGTGAACCATAAAAATACACTGTGGCATAATAACTTAGTGTTATAACATCAGTCCTTTTGTATGGGAAAGCTTTTATACAACCAGAAAACATGCATTGAAAATGACGATTGAATGAAATCCCTTTACCAATGTTTAAATGACCCATTAGGTATCCAAATATACCTGAAGCTTTGATTGTCTTCTCAGGAATGTTTGATAAACTAAACATTGGATATAAAACTATTTTAGTAGGCTGGGCACAGTGGCTCACACCTGTAATCCCAGCACTTCAAGAAGCTAAGGCAGGAGGATCGCCTGAGGTCAGGAGTTCGAGACCATCCTGGCCAACATGGTGAAACCCCATCTCTATTAAAAATATAAAAATTAGCTGGGCATGGTGGCACACATCTGTAGTCCCAGCCACTGAGGAGGCTGAGGCAGGAGAATCGCTTGAACCTGGAAGGCAGAGGTTGCAGTGAGCCGAGATCGTGCCACTGTACTCCAGCTTGAGCGACAGAGTGAGACTTTGTCTTAAAAAGAAAAAGGAAAAGAAAAAAAAAAATGTTTTAGCAGTTTATAAGTTATCACACCAATATATTTAATTTGAATTATTTTATCTTTTCCATGATGAGTCGTGGAATGCATAACTTTTAGTAACAAAAGCTGTAAGGACTCAGGAAGGACAAGGTGGCTGTCCTTCTTGTTCTCCATGTGTCCATGCTTAATTAACATTAGACTTATGTCCTCTTGAATACCAGTTGTTTTTCCAAATTAGGTGCATAGCACTGATAACTGATGAATTGTCATATGTAATGTGATTTGGACCATGGAGTTCATTTAAATTGTATATTTAGACAATTTCAGTACCAGCTGATTTAATGTGAAAATCTGGCAAAGTATTTTCTTGGTATTCAGTTAATTTTTGTCTACTTGGGTTAGCAGTTTTATAAACCAGTAAGTCTTTTTATTAAATTTCCAGGAATTCCTACCCAGTTTAAATGATTTGATTCTAAGGTTATTACAGAAACCTGTATTCAAGAGTGCTTTTTAGGGTCCTTTCCATCCTTTCATGAATCTCCTGAAAGATACTATATTCTAGGATTTTTCATGCTCATGAAGTTTTTAGAAACTGCACTAGCATTAAGAAATTAACTGTGAGGCCGGGTGCGGTGGCTCACGCTTGTAATCCTAGCACTTTGGGAGGCCGAGGCGGGTGGATCACGAGGTCAAGAGATCGAGACCATCCTGGCCAACATGGTGAAACCCCGTCTCTACTAAAAATACAAAAAATTAGCTGGGCATGGTGGTGCGTGCCTGTAATCCCAGCTACTCAGGAGGCTGAGGCAGGAGAATTGCCTGAACCCGGGAGGCGGAGGTTGCAGTGAGCCGAGATCGCGCCATTGCACTCCAGCCTGAGTAACAAGAGCGAAACTCCGTCTCAAAAAAAAAAAAAAAAAAAAAAATTAACTGTGAAAACGACTCTAAATAGCTATAGTTAGACAGTTGACAAGGAAATTTGGTTATTTCTGTGGTCTATAACAATATAATTGTAGTTATGATTGATAGCATATACACAGACATATTAATTTTAGAAATCCCATACAATTTTGGAGCATATGTTAATATCATTCACTAAAATGTGACTTGAAGAAAGTTAAATATAATATTTTTTATTTTGGCAATTCTTCCCATGTAACTTAACATGTCAGATAATCCTGTGTTTACCTCTCTTGGACGCTTCACTGGCCCTCTGTAGTATCCCAAAGTTAGAACTTAGAAAAGACAATTTTGAAGCTGAAATTTGATTTTGGGAAACCTATCAAAAATGTTAAAGGTTTAAAACACTTTATATTATGCTTAACAGTTTGACCATGAAATGAGATTTTTATAAACCTTTTATAACCCTTTACAATTTTTGTGAAAGAATATATCAGTGCTTTATTTCAATGTTTAATTTATGGGAAACACTGAATAGTACCCCCTTTACATTTAGTCAATCTGTTCACAAACAATTTCTTTTACAAGATTAGTTTTTACAAACCTTCCACAACTTAAACCTTTGGTGTTATGTTATCTACTTTAAAAACCCCTTAACCCTCCAAACCAGGCACAAATGTACACTCCCATGCCTTCTTATGATCTTTTATCAACAACACGTTTCACTTTACTCACACACCTTGCATGTAAAACTGTTTTTTTTTAAGTACTTTTAATTACAAGTTATAATGGTAACTCTTCGCAGCTTTTACTTTTGGTGCATAAATTTCCTTTCACAACTTAGACCATCTGTGTATGCTTCGACTTTGACTTGTCCTAAACAGCCCTCTTTTTAAACAACCAGTTCTTTTACTTTGGGAGAAGAATTTACCATACAGGATTGTTTCTTATATAAAATCTCTCTCCCTCTCTCTTTTTTTTTTTTGCTTTGTTAGGAAAATCTCTATTTTAAAAGTCAAAGAAGCAGTTTATGACCTTAAAGCATTTAGCAAACCTAATATTTGACCTGCATAATTTAGACCAAATGTTTTTATTTTACCAATAATCTTCCAAGTTGTTTTTATTTCCCAAAGATCACTAAAGTTATGTGAATTAAAAAATACTAGCGTTTTTATTTTTTTCAAAATATTTGATTTAAGCACTTGTTTTTCTTTAAGCCAATTAATTAGAGCTTTTTAATGTAGACACTGTACACACACATATATAACTACACAGACAGATGGTAGAAAATTAGTTGTAAGATTTTTTTATTTACTAGTTTCTAAGTTTCTTAATTGTATTTCTGGCTTTAGGGTGGAATCCTTGGAAAAACTGGCTAGGGCAACATGCAGTTTCTAGGTCCTAATAAGCAGGCACAGCTGGAAGGCAAAAACAGATCCCCAAAATTAAGGGTCCCATTTTTATGAGTCCCCCAAAAGAGAGGGAGGTAGTATTGGAGAAGACAGTGCAGTGCTTTTACCATGCATTTAATTGTACAGCAACCCAAAACCAATCAGCCCATTTTGTAATTAGCCCACCCCCTATGGGAGTCTCATCTCTCAGTGGGATTGGGGACATCTCCATACTTTCTAGGTGGCCAAAAGCATGCTTCTCTGATCCAAACATGCAGAGCTGAGTATTTTCCCATAGCTGCCACTAGACAAAAGTATATTTCCTACCTAATTACTACATCCCAAAGCTCTTTCATAATGTGAAGTAATTGCTGATACCCCCAAAAGTAAAAAATGTTAGATAATGCAATGCAAAACAGAGCAGAGCTTTAGATTTTGAAAGGAATCTATCCACTTCCAATTCCTGGGGTTTCATGAGGAAAACAGGTTTTTCTCAAAATGGGTTCTCTGGCGTCTCCTGTGTTTCCCAAGGGGTCCCAGGCTGTTAGAGCTTGAATATCCACTTTTAATTAAGCTGACTTTTAACCATAGCACCCTTTTTTTTAAAGGTCCTTTTAAGTTTCCTGTTACCCAACTTTGGCCAGGCCAAATGGCTGATACTGCTGGCTTTTAAACTTTCTCAAAAACAACCTCACAGGTACTCTGAGAAATGAAAATTTGACGGTTCCCGGAGAGGGAGAGAATGAACAAATGGTAACGGTTACGCAGATATCACACAAGAAAGGACTCATTCCTTAAGCTGGGAATTGGACCCAGGTTGCCACTTCAGGACAAAACCTTAGCAACTGAGCTATAGCACTGCCCTTTGCCCTATTGCCCTTTCCCAAAGGAGTCTAGAGGAGTTAGTTTTGAGCTTGCAAAGGCTTTTAACTACTCAGGATGATTTTTAGAGCTACCTATGACGTGCACTTTAAAATTCCTGTTCCCTGGAAGGCAGAGACCAAGAGAAAGTATAACCATGTGGTCACAAGATCAAGGTCCCAAGAACATAAAACGAGATGGAGACCTCATCCAGTTTTTTTGTTTGTGTCAGGGACCTGCAGCAAAGTTTGTTACTGACCAGCTTGCTGGGCAGTCTTGAGCAGTGGGCTTATAGGGTTTCACGCTTGTGTTCTACTCTAAGGTAGCTGTTTTTATGATAGAATGATACAGGAAGACACATCAAGCAAGCATACCAGATTGGCGGCATTAGAATGATACAGGAAGACACATAAAGCAAGCATACCAGATTGGCGGCAGCTTAAGACTATCCTCAT